GATTTTAAAGCTTTATTTTAAGGTAAAATTATAGATCAGCAACAGAGGAGACAAGAGGTCAGTGACAGAGGACTGAAAAAACAAGGTTCAGAATTACCATGAGGCAAACCAAATGCAAAGCTTCACAATGAAAACAATAACTATACTTAGTAAAGTAGGTGTAAAGGTTCCTAAATGGTTCTTGGGTTGGATGTACAGTTCTAGGAGAAAAAACATTTAATGGTATAAAACATTTACATTATTTGGTTCTTTAATTAAAAAAAAAAAATTACACGTATACATCTTATTTACAGCAATGGCTCTTTGAAGAATCATCCAGTGAACCCAAATTAGTTCTTTTATGGTGCTGTTCCAAAGAACTCTTTCTGGAATCTTAAATTTTTAAGAGTGTATATGTGCACACACTAAAACATAATAACAAAGCATGATATCAAACTGCTGATGGTTTTCATCAGTTCTCTCTCATTCAAACTACAATCCCTTTTCCAAAAAGTTGGGACGCTGCGCAAAAGGTAAATAAAACAAAATTCAAAGATGTGTAAATCATTTAAACCCTACACTTTATTAATAATAGTACAATGACACCATATTAAATGTTGAAACTGTGAAATGTTATTTTTTTTTTTAAATAAATGCCCATTTTGAATTTGATGCCAACAACACGTTCCAAAAAAGTTGGGATGAGGGCAACAAAAGGCAGGTAAAGTTGTGTAATGCTAAAAAAAACACCTGGTTGTTGATGGGCAACAGGTCAGTGACATGATTGGGTAAAAAAGCATCCCAGAGAGTCTTTCAGAAATAAAGATCAGGAGGGGTTCACCACTCTATGAAAGCCTGCATGATCAAATAGTGCAATAATTCAAGAATAACCTTTCTCAACTTAAAATAGCGTAGAACTTTTGCTTTTCATCATCAATGGTACAGAATAACAATAAAAGATTCAGATAATCTGGAGAAATCTCTGTATGTAAGGGATAAGGCTGAAAACCAGTATTTACTGGCCATGATCTTTGGGCCTTCAGGCAGCACGGCATTGAAAACAGACATGATTATGTAGTGGAAATCACAGCATGGGCTCAGGAACACTTCTGAGAACCACTGTCTGTGAAAACAGTTCGTTGCTGCATCCACAAATGCAAGTTAAAACTATAAAATGCAAAAAAGAAACCATATATAAACAGGATTCAGAAATGCTGCCACCTTCTCTGGGCCTGAGCTCATTTAAAATGGACTGAGGGGAAGTGGAAAAGTGCCCTGTGGTCCGACAAATCAAGAATTCTTTTTGGAAGTCATGGACACTGTGTCCTCCGGGCTAAAGACCACTCAGCTTGTTTTCAGTTCAAAAGCCAGTATTCATGATGGTATAGGGGTGCATTAGTGTACATGGTATGGGTGATGTGCACATCTGTAAAGGCACCATTAATGCTGAATGATATATACATGTTTTGGCAACATATCGATGTTGTCAGAAGAAAACCTTGTATCTCCAAAATGGTAACTTTACAGGAGAATGAAAAAAACCTACTTTACTTTTACTGTGTCAATGCTATTTATCAAACAAGACTGGGAAAACATTTCACTTTCAAACCTACAGCAATTGGTCTCCTCAGTTCCCAAATGCTTACAGAGTGTTGTTAAAAGAAGAGCTGATGAAACACAGTGGTAAATATATCCCCGTCCCAACTTTTTTGGAACATGTTGTTGGCATCAAATTCAAATGGGCATATATTTTTCAAAAAACAATAAAATTTCTCACTTTCAACATCTGATATGTTGTCTTTGTAGAATTGTCCTTTAAAAATATGGTTCACATGATTTGCATATCATTGCATTCTATTTTTATTTACATTCTGCACAGCGTCCCAACTTTTTTGGGAATGGAGTAAAAACTATTATAAAAAATATGAAAAAATTGCTGATGTTACTTAACAAGTACATATAACTGTGTTGTTTTATTGAAATCAATGACTTGATACCTTTTTGATTGAATCAGCTTTGTTGAATAAAACTGATGTATGTCCCATTGGCTACTGATACCATATTTGCATATTAATAGGGGTCAAAGCACAAAGTGTAATTGTAATTGTTAGGATTTTTCTTCTTTTTTCTTCTTCTTCTTCTGCTTTTTCTTTACTAAAACGAACTGTGCAGACCAAAACATTAGTCGCACAGACATGAAACCTCGTCAATAAGTAGTAGTCCCTCCCGCTGCTCAGGTGCTCGAGGTCAGCCCAATCGGGCAGATGGTGGCGCAATAGCAAAGCCTTGTACGTTTAGGGCCAGGGATTATGTACCGTATGTCATAAAGTTCTTTATTCTCCTGATTAGTTATGTCATGGCCCACAAAACAGCTATTTTGGCCATATTAAAAATATCAATAGATTTCAAGGTAATTTGCATATTAAGAAAAATTGCACAAATTTCTGAGTGCAAACTAGTCCCTGGGTTTTCACTCAACCTGCACAAATCTGTTATCAATGGAATCCCAAGAAGCTGAACTGTAAAAATTATCAAAAAAGTTGGAATTTCATCATTGCGTATCTTACAGGTCCCACCCAAATATAAGGGTGGAGCTTTTATTACAAAAATCACACATATACAGCTCTAACTCAGAAACGCTTTGACCGATTTTTACAAAACATCACAGGCATGTACACTAGGTGGGTCCTGAGTGGTCTTCAGAGCTTGGTGCAACTGCATCGCTAGGTGGCACTATAACATGAAAAAAGTGCTACACAACCAAAGGTTGTCCAATTGACATAAAAATTGGCATGGTGCTACAATGTGCTGTACTGGATTAGAATCTATCAGACTGATGTCATATTTGAAAAAACATGGCCGCCATCGGCCAATCAGATTTCAGCAGGTATTTGACAGCCTTAAAATTGGCCAATCACCACAAAACTTGACAGGTATCTCTAGGTATGGACTCTCTACTACCCTTTAAAGCATGACAGGTATTGGCCACTGGGGGGGTGCTGCTCATGTTTTAAAACACTAAAATGAGTAAAAGTCTACTAGTGTACAAACTATAAACATGCAAGTAGTATCAAATAATGCTCTAAAGTCAACCTGACAACTTTGCATAGGCAAGTCATTTACTAATTATTAGCATTTTTCTACAAATGCACATTGTTTGAATATGACCTATATTGAACTAGTCCTACAGTTTACATCTATTCTGGTCCTAAGCCAAAGACTTGAGTCTGAAAGTAAATAATTATCAAAAAATGCTGACCTTTTCACAAAGTGTGTCTTCAACATACAGAGTTTTTATCACTCTATTATCTGTAATTCACATGTACATCGTCAGACTGAGACCAAAATTAGTACAGACATGCAGAATAATACTCCGAGGAAGCACACAAATTGTGGTCTAAACTGACCTCCGGGGGTGCTACAACACGTCATCATGTATAAATGAGGTAAAATTAACATATCTGTTTACATTAAAGAAATGCAAATGTTGACAAAATACTCAAGTCTTCAGAAGAAACCACTTTGCCCTTAGGTGTGTTTGACTAAATTGTACTGGTAATCGAATATTGTGATTTCTATATATTTTAAAGACAGTAGTGTTATGACAATAAGGCATTATCTGATTGACACCAAACTTGGTACACCTGCTCAATGCCTAACACTGAAACACGGTGCAAAGTTAAGTGGGCAAATGATAATAGGGGGCGCTAAAACAATCATTCCACATAGTGAGCATGTATGCAAATTCATCACAGTACAAAACAATAATTTCAAACATGTATTCCAAAAAAAACAACAGATATTGCTTCAGTGTCAGAAGTCATTCTACTGCAGCATGTAAAAGTTATTTACTGCCGAAGTTGCCAAATCATTTCATTAAGTTGGTAGATTTCCACCTGATCTAAAGTCCATTTGAACAATTTATAAAATGAGTATTACCAATAAGTAGACCAACAAAACAGCAACCTTTAATTTAACGTCCTTCATACTATGAATATACCAAAGATGAAGTCCAAATACAGCAGCATTTTTAAGTAATTGGCAGCTAAAGTTACCAAATCAGCTCATTTGTTCCCCATTTGATTGTCTCATGACTCCGATTCAACACATTATAAAATTTCCAATAAGTTGACCAAAAAAACCCCAAATATTTTGGTATAAAGTCTGTAATACTATGCACATATGAAAGATAAGGTCCATTTACTACAGCATTTTGACATAAAAGGCTGCATTTGAAAGCCTTCTATTACCGTAAGGTTCATAGTTCATGTGCTATAGTTTGCCCTTTTGTCACATCCTCAATTTCAAGCTAAACGAACAGTAAGTGATTGCTAATTTGTTCTCTTTCTCTCTCTCTCTCTGTAAGTACATGAATAAACCTTGTAGAGTCAGAGATGCTGCTGAACTATTTATTTATTTGTTTGTTTGTTAGCTCTGTGCCAATGTAAGTCTTTTCATTGTTTAAACTCTCTTTTATATTTTGGCTTTGCAATTTTAAATAAACAATTGAGAAATATAAACTGTAAATGTAAACACAATGGTGCTTTGTTTTGACATAAATACCCTTATTTGACAGAAATGTATCAAATCAGTAAAAATAAGTACACTATTCTGACCAATAATTAAGCTATTTACCCTATTTGCATTATAGCTAGTTCTGTGTACCATATAATAACTTGTTTTCAGACGTTGAATAAGGCCTTGTGCTTAAGATTAAAATCCTCATACCAATATCCTCAATGAGACTAAAATCCCGATACCAATATCAATACTTTTAAAGTTTTCTTGTGCATATAGAAAGGGTATTTCCTTGTCATTTCTACAGTCAAAAACAGTATATGTGGACATCAAAAATCATGTTGTACTGCACTTTTTCTACTTATATATTACTGCTTAAAGAAAATGCTTGGTATGTAGATTTTTATATATAAGGACTCATTTTCAAAAGGAAACGTCATGATTGTAAGTACTGACACTTGTTAATCTGTCTATCCCTTCTGTTTTACTGCTTGAATGCTACTTCCTCATTTGACTTCCTCTCTCCTCCCATTTTTGCTGTGTTTACTGCTCATGACTCAAACTCACTTTGTATCCTGTTCTCTGAGGAATACCAGATCAAATTCAGCTATCTCATCAACTGCTTTTCCTCTAAGGTAAGAGGGCTTGAAATAACATAATACCAAGCAATACCTGTGTGGATCTAAACGGTGGTATCTTTCTATGATGTTTATGTTACTTGTGTATCAGAGACAGGACTACACAGAGACACATAAGGAAGACTCTCTCTCTTCTCTTTCAGTCTCACTCTTCAGCCACCAGAGCAACTTACATCAGGATTTTTGAAAAAGCTGTAGAATTTATTTACATGTAACATCTATCGGCAATTGTAAATATATAAATATTTACATTTTTTGAAAGAAAAGTGAGATTAGTTGTTTATTTAGAATTTCTTGAACAAAAAAGATCAAAAAAGGTCTGTCAGTCTTGTGTACACACATACCTCTAAATTCAAATCAATAAAGATATGTCAGTTGTGGTCTCTTAAATGTCCTGCTCTCTGAATTTGTTAATAGACAATCCATATTTATGAACAATAGCCTTCTATTTGGGAGAGCACACTTCATTTACAACAGGCTATCATCTCCTGTTAGCTTTTCTTGCTTCTCTTATTTTGACCACTTAGGCTGTTCAGCTCAGCTAAGAGGTTTCTGGTTCCTGTTGTGACACCACCACATAAGGGCACCTGTGGAATACCTATTTTTAATGATTAACACTAACACAGATTTCAGTTAGTGTTATTTAGGTTACCTCACAGAAAATAAAGTCCTTAATTTCCTTTATGACTTCTCACTGGTATTTTTATTATGTTTTGTTTTGAATATAAACCCTGGTTTGGGAACAGGAAAGGGAAGTGTGGCAGCCATTTTCATGGAGGATCAATGGACTAATCTCTGGACTTTGATATCTTCTGCAGCAGATCTTATAATCAACTGCTTTTCTGCTTTGTTTTTTTTTTTTTGCTTTGTTGCTGTTGCTGTTGCTGTTGCGGATGCTGTTAGTGTGTTGTCTGTTCTGGGGAATATTAAGTAAAATCTAACTTGTGCAAGCTCTGTGGTATTCTGGTGCTCACATGTTTTTTCTCACCAAATTAGTGTTCGAATTTTATTAGTAACTACTGAGTTTGGTCAGACTGTTACACTGTACATTACTGTATTACTGTCAGAGCCTGAAAAAGGAGGAGGCACTGATGGAAAGTCTTTGCCTATACTAGAGCCCTGCCCTTGCATTCGGCTGGATTTCAATTCATTCTAGTTTAAACACATTCCAGTACACTGGTGTAGTCTTTTAGGGCTGGTTTTCCAGACATCGATTAAATTATTTACTATATTTTCCTTTTAAAAAGTGGTGGATCTAGAAAGTTTTATCAGGGGTGGCAGTGAGGTGGCAGGGAGTCTTAAAAACTGTATGTGTGAATGTGATAAACATTTTAATTTTAGTATCATAAGGGTAGATTTTTATTTTTTTCAAAGTATATATGTTATTGCAGATTTTGATAACATTTTATCTTCAGTGTATGTGTATTCCAATACGAAACATACTTGTAAGATTATCATTGTAACAAGTCAGGAGAACTCACATGCTCCTGGTTAAAAACAAGCTTTGAGAATTTAATGAAAAGGGAAGGGAAAGAAAAACAAACCAGGCTAACACACAATAAACAGAGAGGAGAAAGAAAAGCTCGGTATACTCAGACAACTGAGGCAATACTTCACAAAAAACAAAGCAAACCAAACAGTTCAAATAGACCTGAGAGCAGATGAGACAAATCAGTAATCAGGTGATGCAAACTTATGATAGCCTAATGCCTCAGCGGTCTGAGTCATATGATCTCCTTTGGAATTCTGGGAGTTGGAGTTTGGGAGGTGACGTGTCAGTGGAGTCGGAGGGAGGCGTGACAATCAGCATTCATTGTGATTTCTAATGTATTAAAATTAACTTTTTCACGTGTATTGTCTCACCAAAAATTATGTTTTCATAATAATAAAACAAAAACTCTTTTTGTATGATCACTATTTAACACAGTTTGTAACCATACAAACAGAATATCTGACAGACTGTACGTGTACGTGTTAGAACAGTGTAAAAAAAAATCTGAATTCATTACTTGTGTTAAAAACTTGTTATACTAAAAGGAAAAGGAAAAGTCTCCAATGCAGATGCAGCTGCTCTGTCCAAACAGAGCAAGATTTACTGCACGCAATGTCAGTGGCACGTCATTATCATCTGCTTAAGTTACATAAAGCCTTGGTCATCAGGAAAACAATTGTGAAAAATAGATGACAAACAATAATACATGCTCTAGCAGCCACTAAACAGCCCATTATTTTACTTTACTGGGGACAGTGGCAACATAATATCATATTGATGATTGTTAAAATGTAGTGGGCAATGCCTCTTCCCTCTATAATAACTTCTAATAACAGACCATTCTAGTAAAACGCATTTCAATCCATGAACTATTCAAGATGCTCTTGCTTTAGAAGCATCACACCTACAGCGACACTTGGATTCACAAGCTATTGCACACCCTGGACAGGTCGCAACAAAACACTATATGAAAAAATACATTTTTTATTCAAAACCACAATAAATATTCTTTTTGCCAAACAGTGGAGTTTGTTATCAGCAGGCTGTGGTTGCCAAGCAACTTAATGTTCAAATAACTTTATGAATAGCACAATAGATAAAATGTAAAGAACTGATACAGAATTCAGTTTTGTGCAGTCATATGTGCCATATGTGTGTAAATCAACCATTTTAGCTTCTAAAGTGTCTCAGCCAATCAGATTTTAAAACCACAACCAGATGTTTTATAAGCTACACTCTGTAGCCAGCCATGAATTTAGATCAGTGCATAGACTCATCTGTACCATTTTGAGTTTTGCTCACATTACAACAAGCATGTGAGTAAAGTTTTTAATTTATCCTATACGTGACACCCCTGCCCCCAAATTTTACACTGCAACATTAACTAGAGATATAAAACTAATTATAATATCTGCCTCTCCCAAAAAAGAATATTAATGGCTTTAGGCTTCAGAAGAAAGGTACTGGCTTCAGAATTTGTAAGTTATGTTAAAATGTGAGGCATGTGTCAAATTCATAACTCTTACACAAATGTTGAATAACAGATAACCTAGTAAAACCATTGTAAAAATCCTTTTTTTTTACAGTCCTGAGTCAGTTTAGTTTATAAGTAATAAACATGTATGTATTATGATTCCTGATTCAACAGTTTGTCGTACGCCTCATTGACTAATATCTTCCTAAGTTTTTTCTTAAATTTGTTCTTGAGAAAAGTCCTAAGAATCTAAGAGTCTATAACAGATTCATGACTTGTTCTTAAACTGCAGAACAGTTTGCAACTTTGTGCTCTTCAGTGTGTGTAAATTCTGTTCTGAAGAAGAAATTAAGAAGAAATATTATAATGAACATTATATATATATATATATAGACCAGAGGAGGATGGGTTCCCCTTTTCAGCCTTGGTTCCTTTCAAGGTTTCTTCCTCTTGCTCTTAGGGAGTTTCTCCTTGCCACTGTTGCCCTTGGCTTTCTCACTGAGGCTTAGATACAGATTTTCCATAAAGCCTCTTTGTTACAACACCTGTTGTAAAAAGTGCTATATAAATAAACTGAATTGAATTCACGTCTAACAAACATAAATACAGAACTCTACTGAACAGAATTACTCTAATAGCGTGCAATAGCGGCTTTTTTCAGTAACATGTTGAGGTGTAGATATTCAAGCATCCTTAAAATGTGTGAGGAATAGTAAATGTCCTCTAGCTGGGAGAGGGCAGTTCAGGAAATTGTTTTGGCTGTCCTGACCACCCGCTGCAGATACTTGCAGACCTGGGCAGAGCAGTTTCCGAACCAGACTGTGATGGAGCTGGTGAGAATACTCTCAATGATGCACCTGTAGCAGTTCCCCAGAATTCTAAAGGTGCTTTGTAAGATTTCTTGTTCTTTATTTGTAGACAATATTTTTACATCATTGAATTAGATAATAAGATAATAATCTAGTACTTCGGAGTTTGTACTTCACACTTGGTACACAATAAAACTTAAAGGGCTGTTAAAGAAAGTGTCACCCTTCTCGAGAAGTAGTAAAAGTCTAGATATCATTGTGACTCATATTTCATTGCTGGCAGTAAGTTTAATTTATGTCATAGTAAAGTTTATAAACTGAGACCTTCAAATTCTACATACTTTTTACTCCTTACAATTTAAACCTTCAAAGTACCTATTGCAAATCTCCATGAGTTTTTTTTATTATTTCTCTTGTCAATGATTTGATTATTGTTATTAGTACAGAAACCAAACTTGTAACCAAAATTAAACTTTTCTCCACTAGGCTAATTTGTCTTTGTGTGTGGGAATCACCCATAAGTCACCACAAGACATACTAACAATAAAGAAAATTTTGAATATTAGATAATAAAATATTTTCTTTTTAGCTTTACATATTCTTTACACATTAAGTGTATACTTTTTAATTTTAAAGTATATTTTTGGCTTTTACATTTTGACAAATTACTTAAATACAGTTTATGTGTACTTTTTCCAGCCCAGGAATATAATAAGCATAATATTTTTTTGTTTATGTGACATGGGAAGAATAATACAATAAAAATTGAAAATGAACCATTTTAATTAAATGAAACTGGATTCTCTTGCTGTTTCTGTCTTTAAAGGTTAACCATAGTTCCTCTTCTAAAAAAACAAAAGGCAATTTCTCTTAAGTGACTTCTGATTTTATTATGGTAACAAAAATACACAGTGTACTGAATGTCATGTGCAATAGCCAGACATTTTTTGTATTAATTGTATATGTTCTCATGAAGGCCCCTGAATATGGATAAGAGTGGTGAACTCCCTAAGGAACCTGCCCCACCTTACCCAGGACCTCCAGCTAATTATGGAGGACTAAACATGGGGCCCCATCCGGGCTACTCCCCAGCTCAATACCCTCCTACGGCTGGCTTTACTGCATACCCTGGACCTGCATCTCAGCCAGGCCAGCCTGCAATGTATCAAGGTGAGTTCCACCTTTTTTGAATTACATGAAATAACATGAAAGTTGACTAATACCACTTTACCCCATTAATACACAGTATGATAATAAAGTTGCAGCCAAATAAAATTATTGCAGAAAACACCCAACAACAGTGTTTATGTGAAGATATGAAAACACAAAATAAAAAAAAACAAAGCAAAAAAGCTAACAAACAGCAACGAAAATTCATTCCTGACACTTACATCTTATTAAGATGGTCTTAGGATATTTGAAAAATAATATGTGTAATAATATTAATACTACTAATAGTACAAAAAATTATTGTATTATTTTGTATTTTGTTTTGGGAAAAATCTGCATGTTGGTATAAATACTATTTTATACTCCTCACCCCCCACCCCCACACATAGCCCCCCAGTAGGTCTTATCTCAGTTGATAGCCAGAATTTCATTTTATGATGGCCTGGTTACAGGTTGAAGCGGCCAGCTTTGGAGCGTTATGTTCTGGAGAAATCATTATAGAGAGGATGATAACTATAAAATAACTGATAGCATACCACAGTGGGAATTGACTAATGAACCTTTTACAGCACTAGGTGTAGATGTCTGGGGAAATGGTTCAAGACTGAAGTTTTTTCAGCTCAGCTGAGTTTCTGCAGTCTGCAGAAACAGTTGAGCAGGGTAATGCTGTGTTTACATGTCGGCATTGAAAAAGGCATTGTTCTGTACCTTACTGTGGAGAAGCTAACGCAGTGATCCACGGGTTTGGATTTGTGGCTGGGAGGAACACCAGGTGGGCTGGGCTGCTGTGTTTTCAGAGCTAGCGTACATTAGCTACCACAAAATATGAAGAGTGACAGAATCAAACAGCACTTTTGCAATTTAGAGGTCTTATGAGGTTGATGATTTTTCTCTACTGCCATCCCTATCTTCGACGAGGGAAGGTGTTTCTGATCAGGCAGTACGTCTTGAGCCTTAACAGTATGAGCCACTGACTCAAGCTGCTGAAGGGTTAACGTAGCGCGAGAAAATGATTATCAGTGAGCGGGAGAGGCGTCTGAATGGTAGAACATTCCCTGAATGGTAGAACACAAATTCACGTTCCCCTTCATAAATCGAATCATTGGGTGTGCACACTCACTGAACAGAAATAAACTGTAAGCAACACTGGAACTGGAATAGTTCTGTTAGCACCATACACCTATTAGCACCCTAGCAGGAGTATCAGTTATCAGTTTGCAGCAGCACTCCCTAATATTTACCAAATAAATAGAAAAGCTCTCATTAATATTATTTGCAGTGGGTCTGTGTGGCTGCAGGCTTTCATTCCAACCTGAGACCAGTTGATTGAATAAGTGGAATCAGGTGTGCTCTTCTCTGCATGAAATAAAAAACCTACAGCCACACCTTTTGTGGATAAGACTGGTGAACCCTGGAATAGAAAGTAAGATGGTAGACCATTTTCTAGCTAATATGTTGTGATTGTCATTCTTATTGGATGTCTATTAAGTATTTCAAAGATTGTACTCAGTAATTCTTTTTATTTAAAATGTTTTTCTCAGTAATGTTTTTCTATATATTTTGTGTAAGAGAAATGCATGCTAGAAAGAAGAAGTATGGTCTTCTATGTTAAATCAGTAGTGTGGTGAAAAACAAATTTACACACTTTTCCCCTTAGCCCAATTGTAGTTGCAAAGACATGTTTGGTAACTGACATTTCCTTTAGTTTTACACTGGAGCTTTGAAGATCACATGGCTTAAACCCCACCAATTAGCATCATGCAAACTGTACGCATAAATCACACAAATGTCTCAAACTACACTGAGCTGTCAAGCAATTTCAAATAGACCTACATATATTGGATAGTCTAGCGATTATTCTAATTATTAAGAGATTAATCAATTGTTGTTGTTTTTTTATATAGACAAAAGAGGGATCTCCCACTCATGCTCTTTTTACATGCTTAATGGTGCACTGGCTCTCCAAAATACAAGACAAAATAGAGGCCTGCAGTCAGCAATAAAATAAGCAAACAAGCAAGATCATAGCTTCAAAAATGGTGCACACAGGTGCAGCCTAAAATATTCACATTCCATATCAAATGAGAAGGGTCTGACTGCAGAGCCGCAGATTTACATTTGCAGTTTCACTCCAGCGGTTTCAGGCCAGTTGAACTCATGCACAGTAGGAAAAAAGTCTTTATTCATAGTATTCGATTACATCATTGAGAAGACCATGTCGCCATTTTGAAAGGCAAGCTGTGACTCTGACGTTTCCAGAAAACGCTACGAGAAGAAGATTTCCTAGATTGGTGGACTGGGTCTGTATGGTCTGCACATCTCCAGAGTTCAGAGCATTACAGTGCATGATATTTTATAAAAACGAATAAAAAGTGGCTACCAAAGCTGCCAAAGCTCTTAAATAATAAACTCATACCTAAATTTTAAGCTCAAGTCAGCTTCTTATTCGCCAGTTTCTGATTTGAATTTTCCATTCCACCTTAAATAGTGCTGCCGTTAGTGAGGTGCTTTAAACACTGAACGGATTTCAAAAGTTGGCGAATACGAAGCTAACATCGGCTTATTTTAATAAATGCATTAATTTACCTCGATAGGCCCAAATGATCCTTAATCAACGAATACCTCAAACTTTTGCTTGGAAATTTTAACTATTACTGAGCAGTTAATGTGCAGCACAGCAAAGCTATAATCAGCTGGAGTGAAACTTAGACCTAAAAGTTTTAATTCATATACACTTCACATAAATGCAATTTGTGTTAGCAAACATTTAAGTTAACCTCATATACATGCAATTTATTACTACAAACATATGTACATTTATGATGTCCTGCTGATGTGGGTTTCCTCTTTTTCAGTGAATAACACAAAGTGACTTAAGTGCTACTAGCTCCCCCCATGTGGAGAATCTTCATACTGACAAAATGACCTTTTAATGACCTGCGGGTACACTTGTGTATTATTCAAATTGCAAGTTAATCACTAAACCGATTCATTGAGAACATACACTGTAATCAGGTAATTTCAATCAAGTGACAATTGAGCAATTGTGATGGCCCTAATCATAATACATTTTGATGTACTGTTGCCCATCGCTGCTCAGGAACTACACACTGTTACTTTGGCAAATGGCTAAATGACATTCAGTGAAGTTATGTTGTAAATTATTTTATAATAATCATTGTAGGTACTTGCAAAGAAATACGGTTGTAATTGTGACTTTGTGAAATTGAGTAATCTTTTTTTTCACTGAAGGTCCCAGTCCTGGTGTAAACCCTGGAGATATTCCTGTAGCTACAAGTAAGTTTCACAGTCAAAACAACCAAAGCTTCCAATTATTGACACCATTATGTTTCTAAGACTGGGCAATTATAAATATTGGAGAACGTTTTAATTTAGTACATACCTTGATTGCCTGTGTGATCATATAAAAGCAGGGTTGGGGTCAGTTCCATTTAATATAATTTAGTTCACAGTCAGTAAAATGAAATTCGACTCTGATTAGGATACTCATGAATTATATACAGTTTTTTATGTATAAGTTTGTCAAGTAAAAAAATTGCTATTTGTTATCAATTTTTTAATTAATACTGAATTGATGAACTTTAACCAATATAATCATTTGCCACTTTATCGCAGCCCTGATTATATTGAGTTCATTGTTATCTCCCAACTTGGTACTAATTCTAAAACTTCCTTCCAAAAGTCCATAACAGACTTGAAGCATTTAGGCAGTGTGTACAGAAGGACAAGTGTGAGTTGAGCACCTTCCTTCAGAAAGTTCCTTTGATAGAGCAAAATTTTTTGTCAATGTATGAATACAGAATCTAATGCAAGGAAACACATCAACCAAACTAGACTTCAGCTATGAGCAGCACAGAATTACAGTTCAGTCTGCTACCACACTGTTAAAGTTCCTGGGCATGGTTATTTCACAGGCCAGCGATTTGAAAACTTCAAATGAGAGAAAATTCACTAGTGGCACACAGATTTAATAAACAAGTGATGTTCAGAAGATTTGGTAATGGCTAATTCAAAACAACCTATTAAATGTTGCATGAGGAAGTTATGTATGTTATGTATGAAAAAAGCATGTTTTGCATATGTTCTGAGTTATAAAAATGCATCTTGCAGAAAAATGAAAATTTTTGGGGATTTAAACCATAATGACTTTCATGCAGACATAGTATTTACATAAATATATGAGACTGCACCTTGTAAAAGGTGGAACTCTTGAAGGAAGGCTTGAATTTGCCTTTCCTAGTCAAAAGCAACAGTAGCTGATGTGTGAATGTAAGAGCAAAATTAAAACAACTTTCTCTGGAGGTAGACTTTATTTGAATAAGTGTATTAACAGCTGTGTAATATTGAAAGCAAACAAACCTGTAGATACATGATTTGCCTGGTGACTTGTCTATACTGTGTCAGTTTAGTGACAGTCCCTAAATGTTAACTGTCTCAGTGTTTTGATGAGATGAGAGTGAGCGCAGAGAATAAGAGACATGGAATCATGTGACTATATATCATATGTGTATATTCCAGCTGTAACGACAGTAGTGATGCCTCCTAACCTGCGTGATGTGCCTGGACAGACTAGATGTCTTCAGTGTCAACAGGATGTCATTACTAGGACAGAGCACAGCTCTGGACTTTTAACATGGTTCATATGTGGAGGTCTTGCCATTATTGGGTAAGAATTGAAGCATTTGCTGGATAATGTAAAAGTACATTAACAGATGAGGAGGAGCAGTTGAAGTAAGAGAAAGAAATAAACATAAATAGGGTGAAAGTGCTTTGAGTTCTTGACCTTTTTTTGGTCTGTCTCTGTGTAGGTGTTGGCCATGTTGTCTGATCCCATTCTGTGTGGAGTCATGTAAAGATGTGGAGCATCGCTGTCCAAACTGCAACAATGTTGTTTATATTCACAAGCTAATGTAATACCTGTGCTGTCTCATAGCAGTCCATTTGGGCCGGAGGACATAATCCGCTTCCTTTATGTTAATCTGTTAAGGTAATGGCTAGGTACAGATTTATGCATGAGTGATTTTCTTATCTTTAATTGCAGGACATCCAATAAAATCACTAAAACTAATATAGATTCAGTCTGTCACTTACTCATTAAGGGAAGATCAATGACGGTGTTCTAATGAGCCACCGTGATGATCCTGATGGTGATGGTGATGATGATGATTATGGCATGGAAATGAGATAATATAGGGTAAAGAAATCAAGGAAAAAACAATAGTAATATGCAAGCTCTTGAGATAGCTCCCCACTTGCAGAAATGTTTCTCCACCAGAGAAATGTCAGACTGAATCTGTGGACAAGAAAAAGGTTAGACTAGACTAGAAAAAAAAAAATACTCCAATTACCACATGTAAAAAGTTTGACACAGACTGGAAAATCACGACTTTGGTCATTTGAATGAATTTTTTTTCTTTTTGCTTTACGCAGAATGTCTATTTTGCTAACAAATGAATTGAACTTTGTGGAGACTCCTTCATGTGTAATGCTAAAAGCTAGGCATATCAAAGTACAGCTAGCCAGATGACAAGTAAAATGTAATGAAGAACATGCTATCGATACTATATGTCCAAAGGTTTGTAGACACCTCTTTTAATGAGTAAATTCAGCTACTTTTAAGGTTGAACCAGTGCTGGCCTATGCATGCAAATGGGCTCACATAGCTTGCATAATCTCCATAGAAAAGTATAGTCCATACAATGGGATGCTCTGGAGCAGCCACACATGAGCCTAAGGATATCGTGCCCAATGTTAAGTGTCAGACAGAGGGATATAGAGCGTAACCCAGCATAAGCACCCGACCTCACTAATTGTGGCTGAATGCAGTCAAATCCTAACAGCAGTGTAGTGTAAAGCTTTCTGAGAAGAGTAGAGGCTGTCACTGCAGGAAACGCAGAACAAAGTCTGGTCCATAAACTTTTGGGCATGTACTGTAGTTTGAATAAATTATCCTGTCATATTTGCATATGTGGTTATCCAGGTTTCAGATTTGTTTACCACAGTAGTGTCATCACTTAAGAGTGACCTGAAGGAAAAAAAACAGTGTAAACATTTCTTCTGTTTTTCTTTGATTACCTTGTTGTTTAATGTTGTTAATTTTTGTTGCATTACACAAGCAGAAGTGACAAATAAAATAATCAAAACTGACTCTGTCGTATGGATACTATAATAAAATGCACCAGTGGTGGGAACAAGTCTCAAGCCTTGACATTCAATTCCCGAGTCAAGTCCTAAGTCAAGATTCAGTGAAGGCAAGCCTGAAGTCGAGTGCCAAGTAAAAAGTCCTAATCTTCGAGTCCTGAACAAGTCACTATGCGTTCTTCGCTATTTTAAGGCCACAACACTGAATAATGGTAACAGTCCTATAGCCTTTTAATGACAGCACGTTAGTAGTGTATGGCTGTATTTTTAATTTTTAAAAAAAATTTTTTTATCCTTCCGACTTAAATTTATCCTTCCGACTTTACAAAATCCAGGGTACACAGATAACCATGGTGTCACGCTTCCGGGTTCTCCTTCCTTGCCTAGCACGCTCCAGGACTCCATTTCCCATAATTCCAGTCCCTATGATGTCACCAATTCCTCCAATCACGTGCAACTGCCTCGTTCTCAGTCACCTGAGTTTTAATGCGATTCACCTGTGTCTGTTTGTCTTAGACTTTAAATAGTCTTTGGTTTGCTCTCCTCATCGTGAGGTATTGCCATTTCCCTGGTTTACTGAGCGTTGTTATTCTGATCTTTTGACTTGTGTTTTGAACCCTTTGCCTGTTTTGTGGATTTTGCTTTTTGTATTTGCCCTTCTGATCTGGTTGCGTCTATGTTTTTTGTCTTTTCGGATTTTTGACTCTTGCCTGGTTTTTGGATCTTGATTTTGGATTTGCCCTGAAACTGCCTTTCCATCTTTACCTCTCTCATTAAATAGCCTTTTGTTTTTAAGATCCGTGAGCGTCTTCTTGTGCTTGTGCAGTGTTACACATGGCAGACATACTGCATACACACAGAATAGTACTACACATAAAAAGAATTTGAAAAGTACTCCTGAATAAAAATAAAAAACTTTATATTTTTTGGGAACATGGGGTGCATAGGATTAAAATAACTAGCTCAGGACTAAACTAGTTCAGCCATCTAAAAACAACGGCTCATTTGAATTGAATTTAGCTGACAACAAAAATTGACCAAGCTGAACAAAGTTTACAGAAAAGACAGCAAAATGATGGTGAATGTATGACGGTGAAGTTGACTTTTTTTGCCAGCAGATTCTTATTCAGATTTTCCGTTCCACCTTAAATGGTGCAGCAGTTATGTTCCGTGTTACGGTAAATTCAGTTCCCCCGTTTCCCCTCATTGCACATGTCGAAATCATGATGTCTTCAGTTGACGCTGCTCTGTAGGGCCTAGATAGGCTTAATTCGTTTGTGTTTGTACCGCTTGTATATTACAGCTGGAGTGGATTTAATATACAACAATGATGCTGATAATCTATTTCTATTATAGCTGAAAGGTTAGCTTTCTTTCAGTGAAAAAATAAGCTGATAATCAACAATCTTTATTTTTTTGGATTATTTTTTAGATTTTTTTAAATTTCTTTCATTTTCTTAAGAATGCCAATAATTCTGGAGTGCACTGTAACAATATTTCACAAAGTTAGCCCTTACTGTATGAAATGCTAAGAATTTACACTATAATGCAAAAATCAGAGACAAAATTGAATAATATAATTAATGGCTGTTTTGACTATAGATTTCATTAAGTATATTACTCAATTTTCAGTGGGAATGAGAACAAATCTGAAAGTACATATTTATCACACAAAAACCTTTAGCACAGCATTGAAGTTTTCATTTTTTTAGTGTATCCACTATTTGCCTTTATTACAGCTTCCAAAGTCCAGTCTTATACATTAGTTGCAATTTCTGTTTCTTACAATCCAACCAATCCCAGACACACTGAATGACACATTCAAGGTCTGGATTCTGGGGTGGCCAATGCATTGCTCTGAGAACACCAGCAACCTATTTGTTTGATTTGCAATTGTTCTGAAGTGAAGTACATACCTAGATTCAAGATTCAAGAGTTTTATTGTCATATGCACAGCAGAAACAGGCAGTTACACTGTACAATGAAATTCTTACTTTGCTGTTCCTCCATTCACCAAATATAATCTTTACACTGAATAAGTAGAAATACACTAAAAACAATAGTACAAAAGTAAAAAAGTACAGTTATATGTGCAAAGTTGAAAGAAAAAATAAAGTTACGTATGCGTATGTGCAAGTATGTAGAGCAGCGGTTCATAAAGTGCATGTTGCAAGTAATTGATCTAAACAGTATTATTCTGACAGCAGCAGTACAGTGTATGTAAGGTGCAGTTATTGAGTGCAAAGTCGGTATCGAGTGCAAAAGTTAAACCAGTTCAGAGTGGGAGGGGGGAAGACGTAGTGAGTGAGGTGTTCACAAACCTGATGACTTGTAGTCCTGGACTTCACATTCCTGTAGCGTCTGCCTGAAGGTAGGAGTGTGAAGAGTCTGTGCTGGGGGTGTGTACTGTCCCTGATGATGTTGTGGGCCCTCCCGATGACCCTGGTGTGATAAATGTCCTGCAGTGAGGGGAAGGCTGCTCCTGAGATGGACTGTGCAGTTTTGATCACACGCTGGAGAGCCTTTCCGTCCTGAGCAGTGCAGTTTCCATACCAGACCGTGATGGAACTGGTAAGGACACTCTCAATCGTACTCCTGTAGAAGGTGCTGAGAATTTTGGCTGGCATGCCAAATTTCCTCAGCCTTATCAGAAAGTACAGTCGCTGCTGGGACGTCCTGATGATGAGGTGTGTGTCGTCAGACCAGGTTAGATCCTCACTGATGTGGATGCCAAGGAATTTGAAGGTTTTCACCCTCTCCACCTCTGTCTCACCTATGTGCAGGGGTGTGTGCAGCTCCCGCTTCCTCCTTGGATCAACAATCATTTCCTTGGTCTTGTCTGCATTCAAGGAACGATTGTTGTCATGACACCAGGCCACCAGCTCAGCCACCTCCTGTCTGGGCAGGCTGCTCTCCATGGGTTTATTCTCTTCAAGGTCCTGCGCACATCCACTGATGTCACAGTGAGCGATGTGTTCTGTGTGCTCTCCTTGGCCATGACGTCTTTCAGTTGGCCAGGGTTGAGGGCCTCGAAGCAAGCATAGAACTCATTCAGCTTATCAGGTAGTGTAGTGTGGCTGGTTGTGACCACCCTGCTCGTCTGTTGGTAGTTGGTGATGTGCTGCACCTTGCCATATGCGCCGGGAGTCCACAGTGGTGTAGTAGCCCTCCAGCTTCAGCCTGTACTGTATGTTGGCCTCTCTGATAGATCTATGCAGGTCATAACTGGACCTTTTGTAGTCTTCAGCGTTGCCTGAGAGAAATGCAGCATGGTGAGCATGTAGCATGGACCGAACTTCACTGTTTATCCAGGGTTTCTGGTTGGGGTATTTTCTGCAGCGCTTTGTAGGAACAATGGTTTCGATGCAGCTGCTGATATAGCCCATTACCCCAGAAGCGTAGTCCTGTAGATCAACAGTACAGTCCTCCCTCACAGCAGCAGTTCTGAGCACGTCCCAGTTTGTACTGTCAAAGCAGTCCTGAAGCACTAGTTCAATGTCTTCATTCCACACTTTAATAGTTTTACTCACTGGAAGTGCTTGCTTGAGGAGTTGTCGGTAACACTTTATAATAAGGGTACATGAATTGGCAGTAATTAAGGCATTTACTAATAAATAACTAATCAGAAAGTAATCAGTCATTAATCAGGAACAAATGAATAAGTCATATATTAACAACCACAAGACACAGTGCTCTGGAATATTATGCCTATCAAAGTCAATCTCCATCCTCTCATCATCTTGTCCTTCTTCTTCATCATGTTGTGTAAGCAGCCCTTGTATTTGCCTGTTTATATCTGTCAAGTCTTGAGTTTATTGATTTTGATTTCTTATGTTACCTCGTCTGTTTCTACCCACCTAGTGACTGTTTAGTAAAATTAAAAACTTACACTGACATTGTTTTGCAACTAGTCCTCATTTGTGACAATTGCCATAGTTTTAATTCATCTTTAATAATATGTTAATTAATGTTAATAATATGACGTTTTAACTCCTGAATTGATACACAGTGCCTCATGAGAGAATAGTTTAGCCTACAGTTACCACTGAACTCAGAAATGAGTTGATTATTGGAGTGTCTTTCTCCTGGGGTCATAAGAATCCTGAATTGTATGCACATTTTTGTGCTTTCCCAGTTCTAGTACACCTCATTGAACTCAACTGCTAATTTACAAGCTCCTGTTGTGCTGGTTGAGGTGTGTCAGAGTGAGAAAAATACAAAACTGTGCAGTGTCAATTCTCAATTCACTATAAAGAAAGCAGTCATTACTGATAGCTCATGATGAATTCATAATGTTTGTGCCCCCTAAAGTGATGAACCAGTCACACTTTATTACTCATTAAATACTGATTCTTCATGATGAATTCATAATCTTCGTGCCCCCTAAAGTGATGAACCAATCACACTTTATTGCTCATTAAATACTGATTCTTCATGATGAATTCATAATGTTTGTGCCCCCTAAAGTAAAGTAATGAACAAATCACACTTTATTACTCAATAAATACTGATTCTTCATGATCAATTCATGTTTGTGCTCCCTAAAGTAAAGTGATGAACGAATCACACTTTATTGCTCATTAAATACTGATTCTTCATGATGAATTCATAATGTTTGTGCCCCCTAAAGTAAAGTGATGAACCAGTCACACTTTATTACTCATTAAATACTGATTCTTCATAATGAATTCATGTTTGTGCCCCTGAAAGTGATGAGAGAATCACACTTTATTACTGATTATATACTAATTCTTCACAATGAGTTCACGAGCTAATAAAATAGCAGGGGCTAATCATTTTACTTACCAAAATGACAGTCATTCTTTTGCCCTCTCAAGAACAGTGATGAAGGATAAGTAGCTACAATATGGCTCATATGAAAACATAACATTGACGAAATTCACAGGAATGAAAAAGCATATTTTATTATCATCTTATGACTTCAACACAATACACAGAACTAGAGCATGTGAATATGTCACTGTAACACGGAAAATGAAGAGAAA